CAGTGTATAATAACTCACAACAGTGACCAATAACTCACAACAGTGACCAATAGCTCACAACAGTGACCAATAACTCACAACAGTGACCAGTAACTCACAAGTGACCAGTAACTCACAACAGTGACCAGTAACTCACAACAGTGACCAATAACTCACAACAGTAACCAGGAACTCACAAAAGTGAGCAGTAACTCACAACAGTGACCAATAACTCACAACAGTGACCAGTAACTCACAAAAGTGAACAGTAACTCACAAAAGTGAACAGTAACTCACAAAAGTGAGCAGTGACCAATACATGCCCAGTACTTGCCAACAGTGCGTAACAGACGTGACCGATCGCCCAAGCGGCTAACGAGCCAATCAGTGGTGAAGAGGATAAAAGAGAATAACAGCCACAAAAGAGCCACACACCGCCAGCCTCTTAATAATTTACAATACGCCCATTAACCTAACTCCATTATAGGCGACGCACTGAACATTAGTGAATTTACCCCAGCGTTTGTGTTAAACACACACACAGAACCTTAAACTTGGTAATGGTGGAAGTATCGCTCAGCATATGGGATTATGGAGCCTCACGTGAATATCTCTCTCTCTCTCCCTGTGGCCTACACATGAAACACGGGGAAGAGAGACGGGCAGATAGACAAACAAAGCTATGACTGTCAACTTTCCCGTTTCCTGGACCATTACAGGATTCGGCTACCTCTACGACGGTGCAACAACACAGTAGCAGTATACGATAACTCCACACTCTCTCACACCTGAAATGTAACTCACTCGCTATGTAACTCCCTTGATATAAAACATCGTAACCCGACACATGACGGAGAGAAACTTTCAAATTGACTTCAAAAACTCGATATATGACCCAGCAAATGAGTCTGTACGTCTGACAGCGCGTTAATAACTAAGAGCTGTGTACGATACCTATCGCCATCTCACAATTCGTTGCCAGACACCACCAAATAGAAACCAATATCTCCATCTAGTACATTAATTATAAAACTCCATCTATATTGTGAAGCTAACTTATCCTCGGTTAAAAAGGCTAAATGGAAACTCCTCCAATAACATCCTATATCAAGGCCTCACTGAAGCATCGCACCTCAGGCAATTCCCATTGTTTATTTACTTGCGGTTTCCCCAGTGACTCACAATATGTCTGTCTTTAAGATAATTTTACCGACATTCTCGTGTAGATCTGATAACTCCTGGGACATTCACGTGCGTATCTAATCATTCTACTGAGATTCATGTACAGTACTTGTCTGATCATTCCATTGGCCTTCTGTCCGAAGGGTCTCCGGGGCGCTGGTTCAATCCTGGAGAATTTCCAGTTCACACAATTATAAATGGGTTCCTCGCTTTACAGTTGGGGAAGTGAAGGCGGTTGAGTGCAGTGCCAGGCCACGCTGCCTCCCTGTGTACTGAAGATTTAGTAAACAGTGAGCTGTATCCAAACTGTTCCTAACGGCCCGTCAGGCATATAGAACCCATTTTCGCGTTAATGCAGGAGAGAGAATGGATGATGTTTCCATGCAGATGGTTGAGAGATCAAGTCCAGTGATGACAAGGTTAAGACTTGTTCCAGCTTTGTTACACACACACACACTACAACCATCAACCAGCACCGACAACACTGCGTCACTCAAAACCTTTCTCAACCATCAACCCACAATCACCACTACCTACAACCACAACCCTACACCAGATGGCCAAGGTTATATCAATGATTATTACCTCCAGGATGGGTCAGCCCGACACTTATCGCCCGTCTTAAGGATTTTGGAGGTTCATCCTACAAAGCTTTTACGAGGGGCAAGAGTGTTTATGTAGGATTCTTAAAACTCCTACGTCATATGTTTACCTTATAAGAACATAAGAACATAAGAATGGAGGAAACTGCAGCGGGCCTATTGGCCCATACTGGGCAGTCCCGTTTACACCCAACCCCTATTGCTCATATGAGCATCCAACCTATGTTTGAAGCAATTCAGCGTATTCGAGTTAATGATGATATTTGGTAACTTGTTCCATTCATCCACTACTCTGTTTCCAAACCAGTGTTTACCTATTTCACGCCTAAATCTAAATTTGTCTAATTTAAAACCATTGTTACGAGTTCGCTCCTGGTTGGATAATTTGAGTACCTTTGTAATGTCCCCTTTGTTTAGCCCTGCCTTCCACTTATACACCTCTATCAGGTCGCCCCTCGCTCTACGTCTCTCAAGGGAGTACAAATTAAGATGCTTTAACCTGTCTCTATACTCAAGGTTCCTAATGCCCGGGATTAGTCTTGTCATTCTCCTCTGAATTCTTTCCAAGGATTCTATATCCATTCTGTAATACGGTGACCAGAACTGAACTGCGTAATCCAGGTGTGGTCTCACAAGAGCAAGATACAGCTTTAGGATGACCTCGCTAGTCTTGTAACTAACACTCCTTTGTATGAACCCAAGTACTTTATTAGCCTTGTTACGAGCAAAAACACATTGTTTACTTGGCTTAAGGTTCCTACTTATCATTACTCCTAAATCTCTCTCGCAGTCGGATTTCTCTATGGCATCGTTGTTCATCTGGTATCTGGTTTCCCTGTTTACATCTCCTATACTGAGTACTTTACATTTGTCCACGTTGAATTTCATCTGCCATTTTTCAGACCATTCGAAAAATTTGTTTAGATCTTCCTGTAGTTTTGCCGAGTCCTCGTCAGATTTAATAACACGTCCTATTTTAGTGTCATCAGCAAATTTACTTATGTTGCTGTCTATGCCGATATCTATGTCGTTTATGTATATAATAAATAATAATGGTCCAAGTACTGAGCCTTGGGGAACTCCACTTGTGACGTTGCTCCAATGGGACTTAGTGCCGTTAATGCTCACTCGCTGTTTCCTGTCCTGTAACCACGCCCTAATCCATTTAAGGATGTCACCTTTGATGCCATGAGCTTCTACCTTTCTAATTAGTCTTTCGTGGGGGACTCTGTCGAAGGCTTTGCTAAAGTCGAGATATACCACATCATAATTGTGCCCCTCGTCCACCGATTCGAAAACTGATGAAAAGAATGTTAATAGATTAGTTAGGCAAGAACGTCCGCTTGTGAAGCCATGCTGGGAATCATTGATCAATCGGTGCTTCTCCAGGTGATTTCGAATAGAGTTTGAAATGATTGCTTCCAGTAATTTGCCTACTATTGATGTTAGACTGATTGGGCGGTAGTTAGAGGATAGTGATCTATCCCCCTTCTTGAAAATCGGTATTACATTCGCTATCCTCCAGGATTCTGGTACTACACCTGTTTTTAAGGACATGTTAAACAACTTTGCTAAGGGCATACTAAGCTCTTCCTTACATTCCTTTAATACTCTGGCAAATATCTCATCAGGACCAGGTGACTTATTAGGCTTTAGTTTGTCTATTTGCTTACTAACATCGTTACTAGTCACTACTATCTCACTTAATTTGTTTTCTTCACTATCTCTGAATAGAGTCGGTGCCTCGGGTATCATGTTTAAATTTTCGGTGGTGAAAACTGTTGAAAAATATTTATTCAAATTATTGCTCATTTCTCCGTCGTTATCAGTGAGCTCGCCGGAGTCTGACCGTATTGGTCCAATCTTTTCTCGTGTTTTAGTTTGATACATTTGGTAGAATCCTTTGGGGTTTGTCTTTGCCTCCCTTACTATCCTTACCTCATTATTCCTCTTTGCTTTCCTTATCTCGGTTTTAACCCTACTCGCCAATACCCTATAATAGTCCCGGAGGTGAATTTCGCCACGATTTATCCTTCTACCTATAGCCTTCCTTTGGCCAATGATGTTCTTTAAATAATTATTTATCCATTTAGGGTCATTGTTGTCTGATCTGAGTTTTTTGTATGGTATGTTCTGCCTTTGTGCATTAAGTAACTCACTATTTAAATTGTCGTGGAACTCAGCAATCTCAGATCTCGTTATTAGGTCGGTGTCATCTGTCAGGTTCACGGCCAAGCGCGACACCCCCTCTCTCAGCTGCCTCTTTAAACTGTCAAAGTTTGCCCTTCTGAAATCTGGTGCTTTAGTGGAATTTTCCTTACGTCTGCCCTGAAAATCTAACTGGAATCGAATTTCTTTGTGATCGCTGTTTGCAAGTTCGTTCCCTAACTCAATTATATCCCCCACCCCAGCTCCTGGCAAACACACCCTCATCCTATTTTTGTTTTTACCACAAAAGGCCCTGTCCATGTACCTTACCTGTGAGTCACCAACAATTAAAGTTTTTATACCTTCCTTGTCATCCCTGTCCCTGACTGTACTAACGTCCAATTCGTCTATCAAGGGACTGAAAGGGTTGGTACACTTAGCTGTTGTTGTCGTATCCTTCGTGTGCTTCTTCACCACCAGCTTTGTCTTCCCACTAGTCACAATTTTCCACTCGCTTGATTTTTCGTCAGACACTGGCTTTACTCGTCCAGCCTCTCCTTTTAACTTCGCCAGCTCTTTCCTTAATTTCAGGTTCTCCAACGTGGCCCTCTCAATTTCTAACTTGGCCCTTGCCAATTCTTCAATGGACCACCCCAGTTTGGTCAACAAACTCTCATACCCGCACATAGCACTGGCCATATCTGATAATTATCCCTCCGGAGCTAACCCTGCCGTGACCTTTCCCCTAGTGAGGTCAGAACACAACACGTGTGAGGTCAGAACACAACACTTGGAAGCGTATTTTACTGACTCACTTAAGATACGACACGGATGGTGCCTAACTTTGTGCAAAATCCCATATAAACTTAGGAAAGAAGATGGGATGAAAGAAATATGAAAGGACGGAAGTTATGATGTAAAGAAGAAAATTAGGAAGAGACGAAGGAAATAATGCAGGTAAAAAAGGAAATGAGGTAATGAAGGAAAAATGAAAGGAAATGAGGTAATAATAGAAAGAAAGAAATATGAAGTAAAGAAGCAAATAATGAAGGAAAGAAGAAAGGAAATAATGAAAGGGCCCACACCCACCTCCTCCATGTGTAGCCCCGCCTTCATCAGTGACGTCATAAATCGCTGTCGCCAAACGTCGTGTTTACGTGAACGCTTCTCGCTGGCCGAGAGTGTCCTGCTGACATCCTTATTATCCTCCCGGCCAGTCCTACGAGAGGTTCCCGCGACATCCTCGTAAACCAGCACGTAGTCGATTCTTCTCCTGCCGTCCCTGAAGAAGGTGGTGGCGTCTTCTTGTATGTTCTGGGTAGAAGGACGCGTTTGACCCAGCCCACCGCTACTCCGCCAGCTGTCTGAATCGCCTCCGTGCTGTGAGGGAGAGTTAAATACGGGTTATGTAATGAAGATTATACAGGTTATGTACAAGTTATCTTACCAATTTTAAGTCTTATTTTATTTAGCTTAGTTTACTTTATTTTACATAATTAACCCTTACTTTATTTTACTTTACTGTAACCCTAGTTTACCTTACTTAAGCCTTAATATACTTTGTTTTTGTTTATGGGAAATAGCCCACCCGGCCACAGATCATCGGCCCACAACGGGCCTGGGGAGGGAGCGAAAAAATATGAGTTAAAAGAAATTTAAAATAGAAGAGAAAAATATTATTAATCTACACCATGAAGATGCCGGAAAACCAGCTTTTTAAAGTGAGACAGATTGTAAAAGTATGGAAACACAGAGGAACGCAGAGCATTCCACAGTTTGGCTGTGTGAGGAAAGAAGGATGTACTATAACGGGTTATTCTAGTGTGACCGACATCCACAACGAAACGGTGGGCATCGCTGGCAAGACGAGTGTTACGAGCCCTCAGCCTTGCCGGCGGTACATAGGATGTCAAATCCACCGAACATTGCCCGTTAAAGTACCTGTAAAAGTGGGAGAGTGAAGCAACATTGGGGCGAAGCGAAAGGGAAGAGAGATTATCAACTAAAAGAGGAGAGTTAATAAGACGAAATGCCTTTGATTCCACCCTATCTAACAGTTGGACAGAAGACGAGCCACCCCAGATATGAGAGCAGTACTCCAAGTTAGGACGAATGAATCCCTTATAAACTTGAAGCAACTGCTCAGGAGTGAAGTAGCTACGGCATCTGTACAGCATTCTCAACTTTCGGGAGGCAGCTTTAGCAACATTGTAGATGTGTGATTTCCATGACATATTAGAGGAAATGGTGAGGCCTATCGTATCTAATTTAGAATTTGGCAGAACAATTGCGTCCTGAAATGTGATTGGTGGGAGATCTTCTATTTTGGAGAGTGTATTTGGTAAATACTGTGTTTTATTACTATTGAATGTAACCAAATTTCTCCCTCCCCATTCGGAGATGCTGCACAGATCCGCATTGATAGATGTAATGAAATCAGCTCTAGAAACATATCTAGTTCGAGAGTTAGGGGAAAGGGAAAATGATAAGAGCGAAGAGTAGAATCATCAGCGTAAGAATGGATAGGAGTAGTAGTAGTGTGAAGTAAATCATTGATAAAAAGAAGGAAGAGAGTAGGTGAAAGAACAGAACCCTGTGAAACACCACTATTGGCAGAGAAAGTGCGAGAGATCGATCCCTCGACAACAACTGCCATGGATCGGTTCTCAAGGTAGCTGGAAATTAGAGAACAAAGTGGAGGAGAGAAACCATAAGGGAGAAGTTTAGAAAGTAAAGACTTGTGCCATACCCTGTCAAATGCTTTGGAGATGTCAAGGGCCACGACGAAAGTTTCCCCATAATCCCTAAGAGAGGATGACCAAAGATGGGTGCAGCAGGAGAGCAGATCACCAGTAGATCTCGCCTGGCGAAAACCATACTGGTGATCCGACAAAAGAGAAAGGCGTTCAAGGTGACGGAGAAAATGAGAGCTAAAGATAGTTTCGAAAATCTTAGAGAGAGATGAAGTTAGGGCAATGGAGCGATAGTTAGAGGGATTAGAATGGTCACCCTTCGTCGGGATTGGCTGAACCAAGCCATGTTTCCAAGAAGAAGGAAATGTTTGAGTTTTGAGGCAAATTCGAAAGAGGCGAGCAAGCACAGGGGCCAAAATTTGAGCACACTCCCTCAGAACACGAGGGGGTGTTCCGTCTGGTCCATGCGACTTACTCGCATCCAAATTGGATAACACACCAGCAACCCTATGAGTGGAGATTATAGGAAAGTGCATAGGCTCAGGAGGAGGAGCAGGGATAGGGGGGATAGAGTTGGAATCGTCTAAGGTGGAGTTTGAGGAGAATAAAGTGCCAAAGAGATTGGCTTTGTCAGGGGAAGAGTTGGCTGTAGAGATATCAGGTCGGACGAGAGGAAGAAAAGAGGGAGTGCAGAAGTTATTACAGATGTTTTTGGTTAAGGGCCAAAAGGATTACTAGAAGAAAAATTGGATCTTAGGCCGTGAATGTTGGAAAACTTAAGTATGAAAAAAGCCGATCCTCCAGCAACCGCGGTGGCGTCTGTCGAGGGCCCCAGTAGTTGATGATCAGTTCGGCCCTGGGGTCCACAACCTTTCCGACCAGTGGGACCCATCCGAGAAGGCCCCGCTTTAATGTTATTGTCAACTGATTTCATAGAATAAAATAATAGAAAGAATAAAACAGATCAAGAGTGAGAAAAGTTCTATATGTTGTGTTGTTAAAGTAGAGAAACAATTTGGACCCTGTAATTGTGTGTAAATGAGGTAGAAAGTCAGATCAGCAACCTGGGACTTGGTCACAATTATTGTGATGCGATATGGCAGTAGGGTCTATCATTAGACAATACATTATGCTTCCAATGTCTTCCCAGGCGGTAGTACCTCCCTGTTTGGTAGCTGTCTACGAACTTATTTTACTTTGGCTTTACTTTCCCTTACTTTAGCGTAATTTACCTTACTTTAGCTTATCTTACCTTACGTTAGCGTAATTTACCTTACTTTAGCTTAACTTACCTTAATTTAGCGTAATTTACCTTACTTTAGCTAAACTTACCTTACGTTAGCGTAACTTACCTTACTTTAGCTTAATTTACCTTAATTTAGCTTAATTTACCTTACTTTAGTTTAATTTACCTTACTTTAGCTTAACTTACCTTAATTTACCTTATTTTACCTCACTTTAGCTTAACTTACCTTACTTTAGCGTAATTTACCTTACTTTAGCGTAATTTACCTGACTTTAGCTTAACTAACTTTCCCCCCAAACTGAACCTCACTATAACGGAACCTTTTTCCCTTATAGCTTCAAGAAATGTTATGAATACGGCCGCCGTAAATTCCTGTGTATAAAATCCTCGACATTTTCCTAAACGGTAGAAGATTCCAATATTATTTTTCTTCACATTCCCGAAATACCTGACATAGTTTGTTTACCATTATTAAAAAAATTATCCATTGTTTAGGATTACTGATAAAATGGCGTGGAAACATAGAAGTATACTAATATACAGATTACTGATATACGTATACACATCCACCAATACGCACATATACTTACACGCACACAGGAACATATCAATAAAAACATACAATCACCGCCCCCACACTCTTCACCACCCCCACAAACAAACAAACAAAAAGAAGGAAGGAGCCCAAGTGATGCATCTAACAATTCGTACCTGGAATATTCATAAACAGTTCCCAGTTTCCTCCTCACATCAGCCGAGTCTGGGAACCCTTCAGTTATACAATTTATTACAATGAAAGTTGAAAATGTCAGAAATGGGGGGAAGAAGGGGGGTGAGAGGGGAGAAGAGGGAAGGAAGGAGAAACAGGGTGAGAGAGGGAAGGAAGGAAGGAGGGAGGGAGAGGGGGGAAGGAGAAATGGGGTGAGGGAGGGAGAGAAAGGGGAAAAGCAGGAGAGGAACAGTGCAAGAGAGGGAGACAGAGAGGAAGGGGAAGGAAGGAAGGATGGGGGGCCACACAGGTACATAAACAAGATAAAGTGAGAGAAAATAAGGAAGAATGAGACAGACATTCTCTCACCTGGTAATGGCAAGGAAGAGAAAGGTAAGACCACGGAAAATTTAAGAGAAAGAGAATATAGATAAAAGAAAGGGAGAAGATAAAGAGGAGAGAAAACGAGAAAATAGGGAGAGTGAAGGAGAGAGAAAGTATTCTTCCTCTAATCTCGGAATACCTTACCTAAAAGGAGGAGGAAGAGAAAGTACAGTAGATTGCCAGAAAGAGAGCAAAGTGCCTCACTTAAGAGTGCCTCACCTGGGAGTGCCTCACCTGGGAGTGCCTCACCTGGGATGGCCTCGCGGGTCCCAGGTAATCACGGGCGTCGTGCCAGAGCTCCTTGAAGACGGCGCCGCCCAACCCCGCCCACCCAACACCTCTTGGGTCGTCCTCACAGTCCTCCTCGTCATCACTGCTGTCGTCCGTCGAGTACCGCCACCTTTCTGGGAACAGTAGTCCAGCCTCCGGTTCCTTGGAGGTCGTCCCTGTTGCTGTATCTTGGTGACTGGAGGTCGTTCCGGTTGTTGTATCTTGGTGACTGGAGGTCGTCCCTATTGCTGTATCTTGGGGACTGGAGGTCGTCCCTATTGCTGTAGCTTGGGGGCTGGAGGTCGTCCCTATTGCTGTATCTTGGGGACTGGAGGTCGTCCCTATTGCTGTATCTTGGTGACTGGAGGTCGTCCCTATTGCTGTATCTTGGGGACTGGAGGTCGTCCCTGTTGCTGTATCTTGGTGACTGGAGGTCGTCCCTACTGCTGTACCTTGGGGGCTGGAGGTCGTCCCTGTTGTTGTATCTTGGTGACTGGAGGTCGTTCCTATTGCTGTATCTTGGTGACTGGAGGTCGTCCCTGTTACTGTATCTTGGTGACTGGAGGTCGTCCCTATTGCTGTATCTTGGTGACTGGAGGTCGCCCCTATTGGTCTTGGTGACTGGAGGTCGTCCCTACTGCTGTACCTTGGGGGCTGGAGGTCGTCCCTGTTGCTGTATCTTGGTGACTGGAGGTCGTCTGGCTGTAGGTCGTTCCGGTTGTTGTATCTTGGTGACTGGAGGTCGTTCCTATTGCTGTATCTTGGTGACTGGAGGTCGTCCCTGTTACTGTATCTTGGTGACTGGAGGTCGTCCCTATTGCTGTATCTTGGGGACTGGAGGTCGTCCCTATTGCTGTATCTTGGTGACTGGAGGTCGTCCCTATTGCTGTATCTTGGTGACTGGAGGTCGTTACTGTATCTTGGTTACTGGAGGTCGTCTGGTTGGAGGTCGTAACTACTCTTGCGTCTTGTGCGTTAATCTTCCTTCCTTCGCCCCCTCCTTCAGGTATATCCATTACCCCTCGTCTCCACGTTATGTTTCACCACGTCAGCTCTACACCATTCTCTTATCCTTACA